AAAAGTAGTTTTTAAGCAATGTGTCTTTTCGGATTGGTGCATCCCTTTGAAAAAAACTAAAAAATAGTTTTTACGCAATATGCCTTTTCGGATTAGGTGTGTCTCTTTATCATTGAACACAACCATTTATACGTGTCTCTTTATTATTGGACACAACCATTTATATGTGTCTCTTCATCATTAGATACAACTATTTATGTGTGTTTCTTATTAAGGTCGCATCCCTAAACTTTTCAATCCATTCTCAACCACGTTGAATCACCTGAATTCATTAAATTTCCAGTTGCCACCAACAATCACAACAAAAGTGTTGTGACTATCTTCATAGGTTTAGCCTACAACTGCCATGTTTTAACGTAGATAATTCTGGTATAATCACGTTGAAACAACATATACACAACGTTGTATTCTATATATACATAACGTTGTATTTTATACACAGACCATAAACATGGACAAGTTTCATTCACGTGTTAAAACACTAGTTTTCACAACTAGTTTCCAACACTGCCTACCATCCTCCCTCCACCACAACACCACCGTCATGAGCGAGCAGCAGATCCTAATAACGATGGTGGTGTCGGTGTCGCAGCATTATATAATAATAATGCTGCTCACCACGACGTTCACTTGGATTGCCCAATGATTGTAATCGGTTTTTGCTTCTCGTGGGCAGTTGCAATTGCTCTTCAATCCTTTCAAACTTATGCCCCACTCTCACTTTCTGTGAGCTTCCACTTCCTATGTCTTGAATTGGTAGTCGCGGTCGCTGCTCTTTGTGTCCAAGTACATCTCTCCCAAGTTCCCAAATTGAGCCCAAGTCCTAGAGCATGTGGGGGTCCTCTTTGGTGTCACCGCCTTCTTCTTCGCTATCACTGTACCTTTCTCGCTCCGCCTTAAGCTCATTTACTGGACCATTTATGCTCTTTCTCTGCTTGTCATTTTCCTCTGTATTCGACGTTAAGGACTACATGTTGTTCGATTAATTGCCAAAATCTTTGTTTATTAGTAGTATTACTTGTGTGGATAGAGTCATCAGTACAGTTCCTGTTTATGATTGTTGATTTGTAGCTTGAGTGAGCATGCCTTCTCAGGTCCCTTCAATGGGTAAGTGCTTGCGTTGCTTGTCTAAATTAGTTGAAATAAATTATTCGCGTATCTTTAATTTACATGTTGGTAGTTATACCGAGTAACACTTGATGTGAACCACTTGGTCCAATATTTTTTGAGTTTGAAACATGATTTCCAATCTTCTAGCCCCACCATTTGGATTACCACAAAAACCCAAACGAAAATGTCAATTCATTAATTAAAAAAATTCTTTTTCTTTTAAAGCATTTTCGATGCATGTCAAATCTATATTTTGAGAGGAGGTACAGTGTCAAAATACTATATTTTAGCAATTATACTTCTGTTTCATTCAAAATGCTATTTTTTGACACAACAATCATTTTTTTTTTTCTAACTACCATTTTCAACCACCATTTTTTTTCAATAGCATTTCTAATGCAAACTTTTTTTTCAATAGCATTCACAACAATCATTATTTTTCAACTACCATTCCCAGCTTGTTTACCTTGTTAAAAATAAATAAAAGGATAAATTGCCCCTCAATTCTTTGTTTGGATCACTTCACAACTATTACACCCAAACCCACAACCAAATAATTATATACTATATATATCTTCCGGAAAAAAAAAAATTTATATATATGCCTTCCTTCCATATATATATGTGTGAAAAAAAATAATTATTATTATATATATTATATCTTCCAGAAAAAAAAAAATTTATATATTCTCTCTCATTCATATATATAAATTTTTAAGTTATTTTTATCATTAAACACATCCCTTACTCTATTTATCGGATTTATTAAATAATTATAAAGAGTAATGTAATAATTTAAAACGTTTATAATAGGCTCATTTGTTTCTCTCCTAATATGGGCGGACATCCTTCCTATTATCCTTTTATTTCCTTATATCATCTCTATCGAATGAAGGAAATTGTTCATTCCTTCCTATTTTTCTTCCATCCCTCTTCTTTCCTTCCTACCAAACATAACATTAATGTCAAATAATTCTTAATTTTGACAAAGTTAAAGGGTAGTCAAGTAATTTTATATGGTGTCAGAATTATGAGGAAACGGTTGGGGCATGAGTGAAAGAACAAACGTTCAGAGTGTGAATGATAGTAATTTTCAAAAGGTATTTTAATGTGATATTTTACCAAATTTAAAGGAATATTAGTGTAATTGACCCTTTTTTTTATTTTTTTATTTTTAATTTTTTAGCGCCGTGTGCAAAGACCGTTCTGATGTATTTGGATTTTGGTGCACTGGATATACTTACTCCACCAATAGGGTAATTTCAATTTTTATATACTTTTTTAATTTTATTTATTTATTTTTTCTAAATTAACCCAATGAGGATTGGGTGAAATCAACTTAAATTTAGATAAACACTCTTTCTGTGTGTCTCCCTCACACACAAGCACATCTATATCTCATAGATATAAAAGAAAGGGCTAGCTGATGGAAGGTTGATTTTGGTGAACCCATTCCAAGGTCAAACAATTTTTAATCCTTTATTTCTGATCATTAATTCTCAATCCCCTTTAATTCGCAATCCCCTTGAAAGCAACCCAAAAAATGTAGAGGAAAAAATAAATATAATAAGATAGCAATCCATCAAAGAGATTCATAGTTAAACCATGTCATCTTATTCCACAAAAGAACCATAATTTACACAAAAATTGTTTGATGAAAAAAAAAGAACAAAAAAGTCTTTTAGATTTGTTGAGCAAACCAAACTAAAGCATTGAACTTGAGGTTTGGTGATCCAGTTAGCTAGTATAGCTTTTGGTTGAGACGAAGAGGGCGGTTGGGTGACCATGCAAAGCACTAAGACGGCGTTTGGCTCGATCATTTGGGTTGTTTTGCTCCGAAGCACAAACGTAGTGAGATATGGTGACAGATATGAGAACCACCCCCAAACAGAACACTGCATAGCAATTACGAACCAACCTTCCCATCACTCCCTGCATCATCTCCATCACTAATTTCTCTCTCTAAAAATCTCTCTCTCTAGTACTGTCTCTTGTAGTGTGACATTTAAAAGGATAGAGAGTACATACATATATATATATATACACACATGTAACATGTACACAGAGAGAGAGTAAACAGGGGGCGTTTTGGGGAAGGATGGCAACAGCTGCAGCTGGAAACAAACACAACCTGTGGATTATAATTGAAATGCAATTTTCAAGATTTGTCGTTTTGGATGATGGACTTGCAGAAAGTGCTTGTCGTTTTTTGTCTACAAACTTGTAGAAGCTGGGCTTCGAGTTTCAATACTGGTGATGGCCCGGTCCAAATTCTGCTCCAACCCAACAAAAATATAGAATTTTGGAATGGGCTTCGGTATAAGTTTTTCCTCAGTTTGCATTTCATAAATCAGGAAATGAAAGGGTGCACGCGCACGCTTTTTTTGTTCACACGAACTCAAATCCATCCCCTCCTCTTTGAATTTGGAGGGAGAATTCACCCAATTTTTATTTTTTATCTAACCCTAACTAAATGGAGTGCTAATTTTACATCCGGACGATCTGTTACCCCTTTGAAGCCCATCATCTGATTTGACAGGTTAATATGTGTGTGTGTGTATATATATATATATATCTTTGTAGTTTACATAATTAACCTAGCAGCACCTCTCTTTCATGATAAGCTCATGAATTCCAGCAACCCCTGGTAGAGGAGCACGAATGAAGAAGAGGATACATTACAGAGAGAAGAATTCGGAATGAATTCAGAAATAGAAATAGGTTAAATAATGAATAATATTGGAATTTATTATTAATTACTTAAAAAAAAGGTGTGTAGTTTGTAGAAAGTGGGAAGCATGTTTTATTGCTTTCATTAATCAGACTTCTAAACCACTTAACTTTCTAAAAGTCCATTTTCAGAAACTTCATCAAACACTCTTTATTATTAGGGAATGACTTTTTGAGTTTGGGATTACAAAAAGACCAACCAAACAGGTCTGAGTATTTACTGAATGAATACACAATATTTTCTTTAATAATAGAAAATAATCACTCTTACATTTTCAGTACTTGGAATACCCAATGTTCTCTCCAAAACTACATTTCCTGTGCCAATAATTGACTCTCTCTCTCTCTGATAATAATTGAGGCCCAGTCTTTAATTTGACAGGTCCCATGCAACCTCTCTTTTCTGGTAGCCCATCAAATCAGCAACCCCAAAACTGCATTCAATTTGTCGGATTAGTATGTTTTTTATGGAAGAGATAAATAGGAGGAAATTAAAGCAAGAATAATATTTTGAAGATTAAAAGTTTGACTATTCCACTTTATGTAAGGTTGATAATATCATTAATATCAGACTCCATTTCATTGTCAGGCTTCTTATAATCACTCGAGGGTTAAAGGGCTGGCACTGCATCGAACTAGAACAAGTCAATTTCTACGGGTATCAAAACCTCTAAGTCATACAGCCACCCTCATCCATCAATCTGCAAAGTCTAGAACCTTGGAAAAAATGTCATAAATGGGTCTCCAAAATCAGTTGCCTTTACAGACTGCCCATGATTAGAGTTGTGATCACGTACTGGTGGACCTTTGGAAATTAACTCCGTTACTTTGACAAGAACAACATCACACCATGAAAATATTGTACATTATCGCAGCATGATTTAGACTTTGAAAGTCGGCAACGGGCTGATGTTAGTCAATCTTTAAATTGATCAATGTAGGGTTACATTTAGCCATTGGAAGACACAGCACATGCAAATAATTAATACAATTAGCATATTGTGGTCATTGTCACATTATTATTTTAGTTGTCACCATCTGTATATTTATTTCAATCTCTTCAATTAATAATTAACCATATCTGTATAGCTCAAGTTGCAGTAATTACAACTATCAAATTATATACAGTATGTAAACAAGGTACATATGCATGCACTAAATAAAACAATCGGAAGCTAATTATATTTATAAATTTAAAAAAAAAAAAAACAAAAAATTGTTTTTCTTTACAAAACAATGCCCATATATAATAGGCACTAATTAATTAATTAATTTATTTATTTACTTGTTATTCTATCAAATGAAAAGGCCTTTGGTGCACCTATTCTGATCTCGTGTTGTTCTGGTTGTGGAAGTGGAGCCACTTGTGACGAGCTTGGCTCCATATTTTGGACATCCCTACCATGTTCTAGGTAACGAGCAAGTTCTATATGGTGGTGGTGGTGGTGGTGGTGAGACGACGACGAGCCATCACCGCCACGCTGGTGGTGGTGGTGGTGGTGAGACGACGACGAGCCATCACCGCCACCCTGGTGGAGGTGGTTGGGTGAAGGCGACTCCTCGGTCTCCCAATGCTCCATGTCCACATTTGATGGAGATGTTTGGAAACTGTCCGCCAAGTCGTTTCTGTAGCCGCGGAGGAGATGGACCGGAGACATGCCATGGAGGGGTGTCCCCGGCCTACTTGACATGGGTGTCACAGTGCCGGATTGCTTGTTGTGCTTGATGTGCTTCTTTGCAGTGTGGTGCCAGTTTCTTATGGCTGCAGCCACTCTATCATTGAATATAGTTGGTTTCATGGTTGAGCCCATCTGTTCATACCAGACATAGAGAAAAAATTTACATGAATTTTGAGTCAACATTTAAGAAATCACTATTTATTTATTATTATAATTATTTTTTACCTCAACTTAATTGTTTACATATGGTTGGTTTTATAGTTGAATATATATATATATATATATATGATAAACTTGGTAGCTCAACTTAATTGTATATAGACCTCACCTAGCTATAGCATAAATGGCAATAAGGTACTTTGGTATCAAATTCCTAACAATGATGAGATTGTTGCTTATATTGACTTTAGAGCTAAATAGAAACTGTTTATTCAAATTAAATATAACTTAGGTTAACTTAATTATATAAGAAAATCATATGTAGTTGGAGGATTAAATTAATTGGGTTTTTTTATATGAGTTAAAGTTGAAGTCTCGATGACATCAATATTGAGGTTAATGTCATTAATGACATCAGCTTCACTCATATTAAAATAATCAAAATTATTAAATTGTCAGTTTCCGTATCATGAGTCATGTATATATATGGTATTAGTATTACCTGTGTAACGAGGGCATAGAGAGGGAGAGTTACGTAGCTGCACAAAATCTGGATGAGAACCCTGAGAAAATCACCACGGTTAATGGAATTAAGTTAGTATAATTGATGTGGTCAAAAATCAAAGGGCGTGTGATGTTGGAAATATTTGAATATTTTGATATGGTCAACAAATGACAACAATATTTAAATGATTAAGACTAACCCCATGGAGATTCTGATTATTATATCTTCCGTATGAGCATGGAAACAAGACTTCAACCCGAATTCATACTGGAGAAAACAATAATAAATAGGTAGGAGTTAATTAATTGATCTTATATATATATATATATATATATATATATATATATATATATATATAATAATTTCCAAATGAGAAAACTTATAAACATTATTATAATAACTAATTGCATTGTAAATTTGTAATATATATAGTTTGGTGACTTACCCAAGTCCACGCAAAGAAAGCAAGCTGAAATGCATTCTGCAATAGTTAACCAAAACAGAAAAAAAGTTCACAAGTGAGTAGAAGCCAAAAAACAAAAAACCAAAAATAGTTCACAAGTGGTTGAAATCTAATATATATATATATATATAGATGATTGTATAAGAGAAAGTACCTGAAAGAGTACAAAGTTGATGAGGTATAGAATGAGGCGTGGGCGGTTGAACCAAAATAGGTCGTCACCAGGCTGAACAACTGGTACTCCCTTCACAACCTCACCTCTCTCTATGATTCTCAGCCCCATCTTGGTTATGATCACCTGTAGCTTTGTTCCCACCAACAGGATGATCTGTAAATGAATGCATGCCACGTCAGCAATTTGATCCAACTCATGGGCCCACCGAAAAACATTTAATGTATTTAAAATATAAATTAGGAGTTTTGTGCTTACAATTAAGGGGATAAATGGTAGCCAATAATATGAATACCAGCCTGTTCACAAAGATTAGAAAAACTTAGTCTAAAAAACACAAAATAGAAAAAAAGTTGTTGACAAGTAATTCCATAAATGGTACATACATTTCAAAGGCTATTTATTAATTATATATAAATATCATATAATTTTAGTATTGTTTAAATGCGTATGATGAACTTACCATGGGTATTAAAGAGAAGAAATATCACAGCAAATAACCAGATCGGTGGGCTGAGAAAATTCACAGATTAACACATAGTTAGTTCAAACTTCAAAGGAACATAATACACATATATATAAGAAAATGAAAACATGGGACTGAGTTCAGCACCGACCTAATTCCAACAACCACCTTGAAATCCTCTTCCAGTGACCGATTGATATACTTTTGGAAATTAAATTGTGTGTGGCTTTGAGGTGCCAAATGTGCCTGTAATGTATACGTTGTAATACAAACTCAACGAACTAGCCAATTGGAATGTGGAATCAAAAAATAATAATTAATAAATATAAAATATAAAACTTGAACGACATCCAAGTGTCTCACAATGTTGTAAACCTAGTCTATAGTGGTCTCACCACTATTGTTTTGAGACAATCAATAAATCAGGTGTCTCACAATATTGTGAACCCATCCTACAATTGTCTCACCACATTGTTTTATATACTGTATTATTACTATTTAAAAAGTGTACGTACCGTGATAAATCCATGTCGCAATGTTAAATAATCAACTTTTGGAACCGACCTAAAAAACTGTCGGAAGAAACTCACCTGAAAAAAAAGACGAACAAAAAGACGTGAAAAATTTAGTCCAACGAGTCAGTCATGTAAACGTGTCAGATTTTACTTTGAAAGAGATGGTAGTGACCGTTAGTGGGAATAGAAAAGTCAAAACGAGTTGTGGTACTGAAAAGTCAAATGAATTGTGCGTCGAATCAGGACAACAACAAAGAAATAAATAAAAACAAGGTGAAATGTCCGGTAATGTAGCCACCATTCAATATTATATTCACGTTATCTTCTAATTATAGTAATCAAGTTGTATACTGTATAATGAACAAAAAGACTTGTATTAAATTTGACTAATCGGATTATGAATTAAAAAAATTATGTTGGAATTTAATTATGAAAGTTATTACTCTATATAAGAAGATCGAATTGATCTGGTAATAAGGACAACATTCCATTCCGTAAGAAATGACTTTTTATATCAATTCAATCAAAATACAAGTAAAATATGTAAAACGTCCTTATTTTTTATGGTGTACATTTTTGTTTACTTTGTTGTGATAAGGATGCATCAATAAAACATATGACCTACCCATGCGCATTTTTCATTACGATTCAATAAAGTGCATTTTTTTTTTTTTTACTTTGTTGTGATAAGGATGCATCAATAAAACATACGACCCACCCATGTGCATTTTTCATTACGATTCAATAAAGTGCAATTTTTTTTTTTTTTCGGCCACGACACAAAAACCTTTACAATTTTTTTTTTTTTTTTAACCGAGGTTTGAACACTGTATTTAAATCATATAAAGCGAGAGCGACAGTGAATTCGAAAGCAGTAGCACGAAAACAAAATTAAATAGCAAATAGTGAGAATTTGAGTGAGAGCGCGCAGAGACTGAAAGCAGAAGCGCCCTCGAAGCGTAAGAAGAACACCGGTTATTTTGAGAGTACATTCGGATAAATATATTAAAAATCATCCCTCGTTTGGAAATGAGAGATGATTACTATTGGGTTGGGATAGAGATCCTTTGATTATTTGATTGAAATATTAATTAATTAAAAACTTAAAAATAAATCAAAATATTAAGGTTCTTGACAGTCAATATAATTTTCTTTCATTTGAAAATATATGGGACAGTCATACTCATGCATTTTCAGAGTTATTGTCAAAGAAGTACGGTTTGTGCAAATTATTGAAAAGGAACTACTAGAGAAAACATAGTGGAAAGTCATTAATTAGTTCTAGAATGCTGTTGTGTATACTGTAATATTCAATAATGAAGCCGTTTATATAAACCTATATATAATGTTTGTATAAATGAGAAATATATTAAGATAGAGATGCTTACAATCCAGAGGAGCACAGGCGTTTTGCTCCAAAAACTCAAGTGCCTTCTCCCAAATGAAGTCTCCCTTGCAAATCTGAATCTCTCTGGATCTGTAACACAAAGTATTATATTTCACTTATCAATCCCCAAAATATATATAAGTGTGTGTGTGTGTGTGTGTATATATATTGCATATTGTGAGTAGTTATATGCCTATCTGTACATGCATGCACATATCTATATGTGCTATATGCTTTTATATATATGTGTGTATAAATACTTCTGTATTTTCCAAAGAAAGAAAAAGAAAAATTGTATGCACGGTATAAGATCGAGAAATAATTTGGAGTACTAACCATGAGAGAACTGGTACTCAACCGTCCTTGTTTCTTTTTCCCAGTGCTTCCATCTTCTCATCTGGACCAAATAAACAATCAATACACACACAAACACACACACACACACACATATATATATATGAGAAAAGAGAGAACAACGTACATATATACTAATTAAATAAATATGTCATTAATTTGGAAGTGAGATGATACCTTGAGTCTGCCCAAAGCCATTGTTAAAATACAGTAAAGGACATGAGATACAGCCAACACAAAGATGAAGATATGGAGTTGATGAATTCCATCCGAAGACACAAATGGGACCTTACCCTGCCAAAAAAAAATACGTAATATTTAGTCAATATACACGCGCCCTAACTTTTGAAACATGACAATATACATATACACATATATGCATATATATTTGTTGTGCTGAAAAAACGTTCGCACGACTTAATTGTATTAACTATGAGAAAATTTATGTTCTTTGTCACATATAATATGCAACAGTAAGAATTTAACTCTTATGATAAATTCTTTCAAGATAATATCTAGAAGAGTCATCATACGTATATACAAATACAATATTTATACAATACGTATGATGGATCTTTTAGATATTATGATCTTTTTCATTGACCTTTCATAATTGTGTTATGACAATGACTAACTAAACTATTCAAAGTAACAAAGAAATCAAAAAAATTAGAACAGGTCTTACCTTGGCTGCGCATTTATCAGTTCCGGCGGCCGCCAAAACACGTCGAAAACTAGGGTTTGAATCCGGCATCCCGAGAAGCCTCCGGCGATGTTCTTCTTCTTCTTCAGAAGTAGGTGGAGTATCGTATCCACTTAGTGTGCTCTCTTCAGACTTACTGCATGGATGCCAAGTATCTCCTACACTTTTCGGTATACAAAAATTCGAAATCGTAGTTTGTCCCACCGTTAATAGTAACGATATAAATCCCAGTAGCATAAGCTCTTCACCCACCAAAAAAAAAAAAAAAAATTACAAATAAGTTTTTTGTGAGCTTGAATTAATCATATTAACTCCAAGACATATTATATATATATGCATATATGTAGTGAGAGAGATATTGAGATGAATATTTGATGGGTGACCGTGTACCTGATTTAATCTTTTCAACTGATTCAAAAAGAGCTCTCTTGTTTTTCTTCTTCAACCACTGTAAATGGTGCATCAATTCCAATTAAACTCTAAACACAAGTGGATCAGTACTATTGAATTCAGTTACTTATATATATATATATATAGATATGTTGTACTACATACCTTTCCTATGAGATGGAGGATGTGTTCAATGAATATAGAAATCGCAACCAAAACAAAACAAACTACAGCAACAGCCCATGTCGGAGTTTGCTCCAAAGATCTTCCTCCAGTAGCTGCCGCCATGCTTAATCAATGCTTTCCTCTGCCGAGAAATTCCCAGATTTTGCCGGAATTTTTTCACCGCCGATCAATATTACTGACCAAAAGTCTAAGAATAGAAGTTCCAGAATTCACTTGAGAAATTAAGAAGTGTGTTTAAATCACATACCTATACATATAATATATATATATATATATATATGTTGAGAGAGAAGGAGAGTGAGAGAGAGAGAGAATAGTATCCAGAAATAATGGTGTTGATGTTTGGTGTGTCTATATATATATATATAAGAGGGTGTATATATTGGTTTGAGTTGAGGAAAGAAGGTTGCAAGGGAAAAGCGAGACTATTGACTTTTAAACGCGTAAGAGAGATGTATTTATGAGACCTTGACTTTTAAGTGGTACATGTAATAGCTTTTTTTATTATTTTTTTTTATTTTTGGGTAAACGAAAGAGTCTTTTGATTTGATCAAACTATTGATATAAATAGTTATGGTAAATGTTTTTATTTTGTTACGTATGCTTGGGACCTTGACTTTTAAGTGGTACATGTAACAGGGCGACATGAAATTATTGTTCGCCCCGTTAATCAGTCCTACCAAGTCAACCATTAGATGGGGTAATGATGTGGTCCATATACCTCCGGTGGCCAGTTTCTCATACAAAAGGACATTACTGTAGTAAAATGATGACCTTTTTATTTATTATTATTATTATTTTCTGAAGAGCTAGTGATAACCCTTTGATCATCCAATTAATTATCATATTACAAGGTGATAAAATAAAAAATGAATAAATAAATTATCATATTACAATGACATACACACATACGTATATTGATCAATTTAGATCTAAATTGTCTTTAGATTGTATATTATTGTGTATTTATATCAAAAATAGAATACTAGCACAAATATTTTGATTCACTGAAATAAATTCTATATGAGTGTTGAATCTTACTATTATATATTTTCAATTCTCAATGTAAATGCACAGTAAAGTACAACATGTCACGGATCTAGTTTAGGACCAATGGGGGTGGAATTTTTTTTAATTTACATTTTTACCTATAATTTTAATTAAAATTTAAAAAATGCCCCCCTCAATTTTTTAAAATGCTCCCCTTCACATTTTAACCTCACTGATTTCTCCATTGAATTTTTTCTAATTTATATTATTACCTAAAGTTTAGTTAAAATTTCAAAAATGCCCCCACATAATTTTTAAAATGTACCTCCGGTGGCCAGTTTCTCACAAAAAAGGACATTACTCTAGTAAAATGATAACCTTTTTATTTTTTATTATTATTGTTATTTTTTTCCTGAATACTAATGATAACCCTTTGATCATCCAATTAATTATCATATTACAAGGTGATAAAATAAATAAATAAAATTTATCATATTACAAAGACATACACACGTACATTTATTGATCAATTTAGATCTAAACTGTCTTTATTTGTGTTTTATTGTGTATTTATATCAAAAATAGAATACTAGCACAAATATTTTGATTCACTGAAATAAATTCTATATGAGTGATGAATCTTACTATTATATATTTTCAGTTTTCAATGTAAATGCACATTAAAGTACAACGTGTTACGGATCTAGTTTAGAACCAATGGGGTGGAATTTTTTTTAATTTACATTTTTACCTATAATTTTAATTAAAATTTAAAAAATGCCCCCCTCAATTTTTTAAAATGCCCTTCACATTTTAACCTCACTGATTTCTCCATTGAATTTTTTTTAATTTATATTATTACCTAAAGTTTAGTTAAAATTTCAAAAATACCCCCACACAATTTTTAAAATGGCCCAATTCACAAATTTTTTCTTTCAAATTTGTCTACAATTTTTTTTTTTATTCTTCGATGATGCCCCCAAAAAAATTCTTGGGTCCGTCATTGACGTGACATTAAAACACTTTATGTGATTTAAAGGAAACTCGATTAAGTTTAACTTAAAACTTTCATTTTCTTTCAAATATTCAATATATATACATTAAAACGGTCTAGTGACTTAAAGAATACCTTAATTGAAGTATTTTTATTCATTTTACATGCTTCAACATGTGATTCGATCTAACTTGGGTAAGATTTTGATGATGCCGTAGAAGAAAAGTTTAACGAGCACGACGAGAGCTACAACCCTATGGTTTCGGATTTTGATTTGGGCCGTTTTGAAGATTAAATAAAATTGATCTTTAGTGACCATTAAATTAATAAAAAAACAAATAATTACCTATTCTAAAAGTTAAATGTTACTCAATGACCATTATTTTTTTCATATATATAATTAATTTAGTGATATTTTCTTATCTTCTAAAGTTACAATCCTTTAGAGACCGATGGGTGTATGTTATTTGTCAAGTTTTGTAAAGTGCACAAAAGAAATAAAAATGCTATATAAAAAATTTGCAAGTTACCTCCCCTTGACCTTCGAAAATACTCTTAATATACCCTTAAAAATTAAAATTAATTTTTTTTTATTTTTATTTTCAATGATATTCAAATTGTGGTATTAAACGCAACTTAATTTGGATATGTGCTCAATTTGTTCAAAATTAAATGTTGAATTGAATTATCACCTTGGGTGATTTATTATTATTATTATTTTTTTTCACTTTTCCTGTCAAATTTAGATAAAACTGTCACTGTGTAAACAAGGTAAGTTAAAGATTTTTTTTTTTCTTTTCCCCCTCAAGTAATAGGTGACAAGATTGGAATCATTTCATCTTCTTATTTCCACTGATATAGACTTGCGAAGAGATATAAAGAGGTGACAAAGTGACAACTAATGAAAAAATATCTCTTGCTATTGAAATTTCTCCAAGTAGCACTGCAATTTTCCCCCCCTTAGCAGCCATGCTAGAAACTTTTACAAAAATGGACCTTGTCCTCGTCGAAGCTGCACAATTGTATTAGGGCAATCCCCATCGAGAATATATAAGAATGGATATATACATTAATTTAGGATTAGACATACATATGTATATATGTCGTCTGTAGAGATATATATATAACATTTACAAAAATGGATCTTGTCCTCGTCGAAGCTGCACAATTGTATTAGGACATTCCCCATCGAGATTATATAAGAATGGATGTATAGCTAATCCTAAATTAATGTATATATGAATGGACTTTTTGTATTCAGATCACATGCAAGAACAAATAATTTGACCATAGCCAAAGGGTTGGAACATTGACCCACAATGCACTCTTCAATATAATTTTTCTTTTCCAATTTTTTTCCTCTCTTTGTTAATTGGTAAGAACTCTTTAAACTGATATAAAGAAACTTTTCATATACAAAATTACAAATATGAAAGTATATGAAATTTCGTGCACATTCACTCTAAATTTGTTACTTATACGTGACTTAAAAGTTGTTTTTGTTATTATTATATAAGCATTGACCAAATCTATTTGTATCGATTACAGTATCAGAATGATTGATTTTGTTGTGACTAATCATTACTTGTTTTTGGTTATGTGAATACGCTTTCCTTCAAAGTCATCCAATGAATTAAAAAACTAGCAAAGTTTTGTATAATTTAAGAAGGATTTGTGCTCTCATAATTTATAAAGAACCATACCTTCCAAAAAAAAAAATTATAAAGAACCAAAATATATTAAGTCTACTAGCCTGTATTTTTAAATTTTGGGACTGCAACAAGCTAGATCTAGGATTTTAAATTTTATTAAAATAAATTCGATTTACCATAAAATAAAATAAAATAAAGAAGGATACATCAAGGATCTTCTACGGTTTTTCATGGACCAAATGACATAATTGCACGCATAAGTCACGATAAAAGTCAAGACGAGACAGTTTAAAGACTTATTTGAAGTTAGTGGTTATTTAAAGTTTTAAACTCTAGCGTAATTAGAATTAACTTATACATTCTCCCGTACAATTAGTATAGCTACAAATGAACTCGGTTTAGTCGGTCTTTAATTTTTTCGGACTCAACTCATTTGTTTGTGAATTCTAACTCAAAATTGTGACTAATTAGAAAATCTGAATTTGTGCTCAGCTTGGTTTGAATAGTGTTCAATAGTATTATGACACATTTATGAATTTATACGTAGTTAAACAAGACAAAGCTAATGATCATATATATTTATGAATTTACGTTCATGAATGTATAGAGTCAACACAAATATATGTTTGTGATCACGTGTTCATGGTACAAGTTTACACGAATTTAATGTTTAAGCAGCCCAGACTAAATAAGTTCAAAAATTAAACTCGAAATAGTTTCGGTAACACTTAATAAACAAGTTCTGGTCAAGTCTTAAATGAGCTAATAACAAACTATTCATGCAAAGACTTACAAAGCAATTTATGGTGGGCCAAGTTTGAGAAAGTCTTACACTTACTGTTCAAATTTTAGTTCATCTCTTGAAAGAGTTGTACCCATTTGAAATTGGGGATACTTTTAACAATGAACATAAAAGTGAAAAAAAGCAAAAAAGGAACTTGATTTTTTTTTTTTTGTGAATATTGTTATGGATTGGACATCAAAATTCACATCCTATTACAAAATGGTTAAATAATAAAGTATGACAAAACGATAATTCATTCTGGATCCCATATGAGATAAGAATTTATAGATATATTTATCCGTTCATTTTAACAGTCAAAATACCTCAACGCAACGTGACACATTATAAAGAATTAGACCTACTCTTTCACTTGTCACGAACCACGTGCTATAAGTTTAACATGCCCAAAATCTTTCCATTTTGATCTAAAGTGAGACAAAAATTCATGACATAGAACTTTGACATGATGTATCCGGTATTTTCTATACTTTCCAGTCGTGGCAGTTGGTTTTCACTTTTTCTTAATTGGTGCCAACACAAAACCAAAAACTTCAAACTAGACACGGTTTCATACAAATAATGATTATATATACTTCCAATTGATGATTACTCCAATATTTATATATCTCGACATTTGATAGTTGCCCCACAGACACGGTTTTAGACACCTTACAGACATTCCATCAATATCAGACACCGTTTTAGACACTGTTACTAGGTTGTATGACACAAAAGTAACCTACCAATATACTAATCCTAAATCTAATTTTCATTAGCACCATGATTGATCCTATAATGCAAATAATGATTGTATGAGAAGTTAATAAGGACTAGTTGAAGTGTGTACATGTATTAGATTAAACATAAATAAAAATCAACATTTCTCATTATTATAAATTATTTTTTGGTGTATTTTTCATATAATAAAAAGGAATAACAACATAACAATAGACATACGTAATCTAAGATAGAATTCTGAATAGCTTAACAAGCCGTTTGACAAATTCGTTTTTCATTAGA